AGAAATATTAATTTTCTCCGTCTTTTAAAAAGAATATGGCAAATAACTGAAGTGACCAATATTTTTTATGGTCATTCAATCAAAATATTTTCTCAATCTTTTCAATTTCAATTCTATTTCAAAAGAGGTGAAGAAGACTAATGAACAAAATGATGTACAAGATCTACAACCAAGGAACAGAGCCGGTCCTGTATCTTATGGGCCCTGAGGTGAACGATGAAAAGTAGGCCCCCCAGCGACAAAATTCAAAGGTGTATTATGTGACTCATTGCTAACTTAAAAAACTAACATTAAAACAACAACAAAATATATCATAGAAACGATTTATATTATAAACCATCAAACCAAAAATTTCAAACAATTAGTTAAATACTATTCGTCTTGCTGTTTTAGAGGCAAAAACATCAATCAAATCTGAATAACTTAACTGCTCAACCATTTCTTTTTGTATTGATAACGTAGTTAACCCGTTTAATCTTTCTTGCGACATAGTTGATCGGAGATAGGTCTTGATCAACTTTAATTTTGAAAAACTTCTTTCCGCAGATGCAACTGTAACCGGTATGGTTAACAAAATTTGGTAAGCAATATAAGCATTTGGAAAACAAACATCCAATGTCTTCAAATATTGTAGTATTTCAATTGCTATTGTTGCTTCACTTGGTATATAACACCTCAAGACTTGTAACTTCAAACATAAGTCATCTCGACTGATGTCCGAATGCCCATTATGTTGAAGATATTTCTCAAGATTCAAACAAGAGTTCAACAAACTTGAAAAAGTTGCACTCCTTAACCTCTTCAAACTACACAAAAATCCAAATGTGTCATCATATTGTTTGAATTATTCAAATCAGGTCCTCAAAGAAGATAGAGCTTGATCAATTATAAAAATAAAGTACTCAACTCTAAAAGATTTTTCTGCTGATTGCTTTACCTCATCACTACCGCTTTAATCAAATTGTTTTTTTCTTCGAATTATGCGTTTTTCTGTAAATACAGCTTCAATTCCTATTTCGCTTGCCTTTTTTGTCGTTCATCTTTGGCAATAGCAAATCCAATTTCTCTGTATTCTTCAAGAAATGAAACAAGTCATTGCAAGAGGTCGATAGCATGATCAATATCCATGGATTCCGTTTGAAGAAATTTACTCACAATATCGACAGCATGCAACAATATGTACCAGATTATCATGCAAACAAAAACTCAAAATTTTGAAGTTCATGTGTTGCTAATGACTCGGCTTCACTCTTCACTTTAGGATCTTCATTACTTTCTGCCAAATCAAGTAATGCATCTCTTATCTGTGCAATTTGCTCCATTATAGGCTTCACACTTTCAACATGACTTTCCCAACGTGTTCGTGACAATGGCTTCACTGTCAATCCTTGTACATTATCTTTGAAAATTTTTCATCGCTTGGTAGAAGAGGAAAACAATGTGTAGATGCGTTGTATTACTCCGAAGAAGGATACAACTTTGGAACAACAGTTCACCATATCACATAATACTAGATTTAGACTGTGAGCGCCACATGGAGTATAGAAAGCTCGGGGATTCATTTCATGGACTCTTCTTTGCACACCTTTGTGCTTCCCGCTCATGTTAGATCCGTTGTCATACCCTTGCCCTCTAATGTCATCAATACCGAGATCAATTCTTATCAAAGCCTTTTGAAGCTCAGTTGCAAGTCCAAGTCCTGTTGTGTCATCTACCTTCAAAAATTCTTACTAATGTTCTTGAACTGTAGGTAAGTTTCCTGAATTATCTACAAATCCTACAATTAAAGATATTTGCTCCTCCTGACTTGCATCTGGAGTACAATCAAGTATAACTGCGAAATATTTTGCATATTTAACTTTCTTGACAATTGAACTTCTCACCTGATTAGTCAACAACTGTATCAACTCATTTTGAATTTTTTTGCCAAGATACGTATATTGAATCTCTCTTGCTTTAGCTCGCCGAAGGTGCTCTTGCATTACTGGATCAAATTCACTAACCATTTCGACCATTTGTAAAAATAGGCCATTGTTCTCAACATGTAGCCTCTCATCATCTCATCGAAATGGCAATGTATTTTTCGCAAGTCTTTTAACAATATCGATTATCCTTGTTAATACATGTCTCCAATGTTCTCTTTCAGCATCAATCAACAATTCAACGCTTTTATCAATTGTAGTTTTTGATCGAAACCTATTTTCCAATTCAATCCAACTAGTCATGCAACGTAAATGCTCCTCATTTCCTTCAATGACTTTTAATAGATCGATGCAAATTATGCCAATCTTTGAATCCATCATTACCTAGTTGGCCAAATTTTGTCACATTTATTGGTATTTTAAACAACTTGCAACAAAAGCAGAAGATCCTGTCCATTGACACTAAATATACTAGCCATCTTCTATCAACTGTTTTCCCATTTGGTAGCAATCGCTTATATTGTGAAGAATCGAAATGTCTATTTGTATAGTCTTTCGGAAACGAGATGTCATCAACTCTTTTTGGACCTCTTTCAACTAAGTAATCCCTTGTTCTTTGATCAATAATTTTCCAATTCCCGGGATCATCCAAATTTGGAGAAAAGCAACCCTCTTCTTCCTTATCATCTTCTTCATTATTAGAGGCGGGCTTCATCACTTCTTCTTCCTTATCATCTAATTCGTTAACATCGGTAGGTTGACTCACTTCTTCATCCTTATCATCTACTTCATTAATGTGGGCAGGTTGAATCTCTACTTCATCCTCATTCAACGCATTCACATTGTCACTTTTGAAGTACTTCTTAATATCCTCTACTTGACTTTGAATTAATGCAATTTCATTTCATTTTCTTTTCCTCTTTTGAGCACCAGACTCGTATTTAGGAGGCATAGTAATGTCCAATGATGAGCCTAAAAAACAATTACAAAATAACTCAATCATCTCACAATTATAGTTTCCAATATAGTTACTATGTGTGCCTGTGCAATTGTTCATCCTACAATAAGCAATCATATAAGCTGACCAGACTGCAATTATGTAAGCCGACAAGGCTTCAAACATTTCCAATCTCTTCAATAATAACTTAGGGTAAGCCATTGCTTACCTGATAAGTGAGATTTTGACAAAAATTGTGGAATTACACCATTGAGAATGATCCCGTTTTCTAAACTGGTGGTAAGCTAATCTCAAATTTTGGATTGTGTCAACAATGCTCTAGCATAACAAGAAGAAACATGTATAAAAATAACAAGTATATGATGGATTAAAATGAAAGAAATAACAAGTATATGATAAATTATAAAACTTCAATTTAGTTAAAACATGGATGTTTCTAGATCAGAGAACCACAAGCTTAACTAGATTAGAAAAGGAAAAAAGTCCTTCAATTTCTGTGTTCATTTTAATTTTTCTTCGTGGACCAGATTGATCTTAATAATTTTCTTTGTAACATACTTGTTGATTGAAGTAAGATTAAGCAATAAACAAGAGACTTTCACTTCACCTTGAGAAATGATTAAGCAATAAACAAGAGACTTTCACTTCACCTTAAGAAAAACATACATGTCAGGCCAAAATTAGTTTGACAACTATATACGTTCTTTCTTTTTCCATTAGATATTTTCTATTTCAAGATAGCTAAGTATTTTTTATATCTGTGTTCATTACATGAGTTTTTGATATGCCACTGGTGTGGTTCACATATGCCAGGTGGGCAAAAAGGTTCTGAACAAGCTAAAGGGGCAAAAATGGAAGTTCAAGTCATGGAGTCACTAAAGAAAGAAGAGTCCATGCAGCCAGAGATGGAGTCCGTGTAGCCAAGATTTGATTGAGATATATTTGTAATTAGGTTGATTTGTTTTAGCAAATTGTGAGTTGGTTAGGAGTAACTTTGCTGAATAAGTGTGGCATTAGCTCACCAAAAATAAAGAGGGGGCAGAGTTTAGTCAATCATCCAGAAATTTGAGGAAACTAAAAGAGATACCAAGCCTCTTAAATGCCTGGTAACATGTATCACTTTCCATTTCTTATTTGTAATTTCCTCTTCAGTACAAGTGCTATTATCAAATATAGTATTGTTTACAATTCCACAATTTGCTGGGTTTCTACCCAAAAACCAATTCATTCTTCAATTCTGTAATTCGTGTTCTATCGGTTGCCTGATATCTACTAGTGATGAAATAATTGATCCTAGTCAGTAATGACAACTGATCACTAAATATTGCCTTTTGAAGCTGAATACATTTCTTTCTCTATCACTTAAGTTTAAAGCATTTTCCAAGATTCCAAGTTGGACATGTGTGACTGATATCTATGCATCAATATATTGAAGATTTATCAAATCATTACGGGTACCTAGGGTTTTTTCTTGGAGCTGTAAATCGTAATGCTGAATCCTTCACATAATGGTCTGAAAATCAGAATAATATTTGATATTTCAATCTCTGAACTTAAACTTAAATCTTGTAACTTGAAAGCTGTACGAGTACCTATTCAGGTAGAACTGTAGAAGCGACTAAGCGAGTCAAGTGTGAAGCGGAGCGGAGTAACAGCATCAATTCTACATTCACCCAAAAATCATTCACCGGTTCATAGTTGCAATTAATCAATCAATCATAATATTGGAAAAAGAAAAAGCAAATTATCTTTTATATATACCAGTTTACGCCTGTTCACACACGCTTTAAGATAAAATGAAAGATGAAAAGTACCTTCTTTAAGTTTCAGTATAGCTTTGTAGAGGGGCATCTGGTTCTTCTTTTTCAAATACTATAAAAAAAAATCAGTAAATCATAAATTTTTTCCAAAAATAAAAATTGTAAAATCTCACAGCTTTGTAGCAAGTACGTGTGCCAGTGTAGCAGAGGAAAGGGGATTTTTGTGGTCCTGTGGAGTGCGGAAGGCGAACCTGCAGGCTACGGCCTCCGGTCTTGTAGAGTGCGGAGCAGGCGACTGAGGCGAGCAGCGAAGCCGGTAGCAGAAGCAGAAGCCAGAAGAAGGGCCAAGGCAGATTCGTGATGGACTCACCGGACTGTGTCACTGTGGAGAGGGGAGTGCCGGTGACCTGACGTCTCACAGTGGAGTGACAATCGTGAAAGTCGGAGACGACACACACACTCGATGCATTTGATATGAATTTTTAGATTTGGGAATTTAGGTAAATGGATTGGATTTGGATAAATGGATTGTTGGGTTGGGATTGGTTTAGTTATTGGATTGGGAATTTCATTTGGGCCGGCTGAACTAAAAAAAAAAAGGGCCAAAATGAGGCCCCCTAAGATCTTGGGCCTGAGGCACAGGCCTCATTCGCCTCGGCTCAGGACTGGGCCTGCCTCTACAAAGCGGAGAAGACACGAGCCAATTGGGAGTATGTTGCAGAAAATGTAAAATCTGCAGTAACTGGAAATTATGATGATTTCATGGAGATACTGTCTTGGAGTTACAACCACTTGCCTCATCGTCTTAGAGCATGCTTCCTTTATATGGGAATTTTCCCTGAAAATTATGCGATCCATGTCTCCCATCTTATCAGGCTATGGGTTGCTGAGGGAATTTTAAAGCCAAATACGCATAAAAGTTTGGAAGAAGTGGCAAAGGAGTATTTGGAAGAACTTATTGATAGAAGTCTAATTATGGTTCGGGGCCAGATTTACACTGGGGAAATCAAAACCTGCAGCATCCATGACACCATGAGAGAACTTTGCATGAGGAAAGCTCAGGAGGAGAAGTTTCTTTATGTCGCCAATCACGAATTTGATATTTCTTCGGAAGTTGTGAAAAATCAGCTTCCCCTAAGCATTCATCGAAAAATGTGGTATGACAGATCAGACATACATGACTCAACTATCCGTTCAATTCTATACTTCACAGATAATATTCTATTGCCAAATTTTCTATATTTTCAGCTGCCCAGGGTGTTGGAAGCAGGCAATATACATTTCTCTCAGTTTCCAATTGAAATAGTAGAACTTGTTAATTTAAGGTTTATTGCTCTGTCCTACACTGGGATATTCAAGATTCCTGCCTCAATATATAAATTTTGCAATCTTCAGACCTTGATTGTTTATCGAAAGTCTGAGGGTGACAATAAAATATTGTTACCGGAGGAACTCTTGAAGATGCCAAGGTTAAGGCATCTCTTGTTCGATGAAGCTCTCTTGCATTTTTCTCATGGTCCACAAAATGCGAACCTACAAACACTTTCTGGTGCAATAGATTTCAGATTCACTCAGGAGGCCCTTCAAATAATTCCAAACCTGAAGAAATTGGGAATTTCTTACTATTGTGGAAGTCAAATTGAGTTGTCATTCTATTGTCTTGAGAATATTGTCTATCTGCAACAACTTGAAAGTTTTAAGTGCAATTTTCGAACACATGTTCCTCTGCCTCATAATATGTCACTTGCTGGTTCTCTTCCCAACCTTGAAGTTCTCAAACTAAAAGGCGTTATCTTTGAAAGCACTTCATGGAAAACAAAAGAAGGGGAATTTTCTCTACTAAAATTCCTGCTTGTTGAAAGGAATACTTTGAAATTCTGGGAAGCCAAGGCAGCGCATTTCCCAAGCCTTCAGCGCCTATGTCTTAGGTATTGCCGGAGGTTAAAGTACATCCCTCCTGGAATTGGTGAAATTCCAACTCTTCAGCTACTCATCTTGTATGAATGTTCATCATCTGTTGTGACTTCGGCAACTTCAATCCGAGTGAAACAACAAGACTTGGAGAACGATGACCTTGAGGTTCATGCCTATTCATTTTTAATGGATATAAAGCCTCCCATAGCATCTTCAACCGTAAGGTAAAACTTACCCTTGGGCATAAAGCACTTCCTCGCATGCATGCCAATATAGATGCTCATTAAAGGTCACATAGGTGAAAAATTTTCATAAATGAGTGATAGCAAAAGTTGAACTCTGATAATTCGTCTACTCCTATACTATGATAAAATTCCAATACTTCGATTACTCCAATACTTTGTTAACCTAGTTTAATAAAATAAATAAACAGGGGCTAGACATATACAATTAAATATAAATTTTGGACCTCTTCATTTTTTTTCTTGTTTTGACTTAAAGAATCTTTATTGCATGGTTACAGCTTGATTTGACTAAAAGAAAATTAAAAATAAAAATAAAAATTAGGTAATATATAGCCTAATTTCTTACAGTAGATCACCCCTAGATTTAGTCCCCTTCAAACAATTTTAACTTTTAGGTAATTTGATTAGCATGGTATCAAGTAAAGCAAAATATTAGGTTCTGATTATGTGAATTTACATTTGGGAATTAGTTTAATCAACTTTATCAAGTCTTTTTCTCCTTGACATAGGGATGTCAACGAGTCGAGCCGGAACCTAAAATTTTTGGCTCGAGCTTGGCTCGGTTAAAATGGTCGAGTTTTTTTACGAGCCCGAGCCCGAGCCCGAGCCCGAGCCTAGCTTTTGCTCGGCCAAAAAATTTTGGCTCGGGCTTTTACGGGCAGGCTCGGTATTTTTTTTTATTATAAAGGCAGCAAGCAGGGGTTCAGTTGCGGAGAAAAAGAGGACTCAGAAATTGATGTTTCATGTGAGCAAGGGTATTCCGGGTTGGATTCAATTGGAATAGCTAAGAAAGAGGAGACTTGCTTTGAAATGGAAAACAGAGAGTGGGAAACAGGGGATCTTGAAATTGAGGCCTCTTTTGATAAAAATATTTTGGATTGGGAAGCTTGAGAAAGGTGTGTGTTGCTAATTATTTACATTTTTTTTAAAGCTCGCGGGCCAGCTAGGGCTCGATCCGTGTCCCCAAAATGGGGCTCGGTTGCTCCGAGCCATGAGCCGGGCCGCGGGCTATCTGAGCCTTCGAGCCTTTTTGACACCCCTACCTTGACATGCTTTTTTTGCAGATGTATCTCCATTCCTATCGGACAAATTACGGTAAGTTTTGGCAGTCGTTAATTTAAACATATATAGCATTCATCGATTGCTCCAGAAAAGACAAAACTTTTGGTTTGCTGCTGATTATGTTATTCTTCATTTTTGAAATTAGCTATTGCAGAGACTGTGCATAGATTTCTTTGCCTGACGTATGTGCTCAAAATCGGAAAATTTCAACTGCTGTCAATAAACATTTAATGAAATTTTAAGTGGAACACTAAACTTTAATTTGTTTCAATTGAGTCCTAAATTTCAATTTAGTGTTCGTATCTTTCTTAATTACAATATAAAATTTCAAACAATTAAGATTTTATTTTTCTTGAAAAATTTATATTGGTTGAACGGGTGGGCTCAATCATAGAAGGCACTTCATTGTTTCTTTCTTTTTTTTTTCTTTTTCTTTTTTCTCTTAGCAAACTTACAATAATTTATGTCTCTGTCAGGACATATTTAGATCTTGAAGGACAACTTGAAGAAAAGACTGAGATGCCTTTAAAACGGTAAGCGAATCGAGTCCTTTGTGTTGAACTCTTGGCTTTCCCTTTTATAATGGTTCCAATCAAGGGGTTTCTCCTCCTGTTATAAAGCCTTTTTTCTTTTTGTCTTTAATGATAATAATTTTCTAAGTTTTAGTTTACTTTAAAATGTAATTCCGAATCTAACTTGGGACGCCACGTGTAAATGGGTAGTTATATTTTCTCCCTTTGTTTAGAAACTTAAAGCAGTATAATGCACAAAATCGGAAAATTTCAATTGCTGTCAATTAACTTTTATTGAAATTTTAAGTGGAACACTAAACTTTTATTTGTTTCAATTGAGTGCTAAATTTCAATTTAGTGTTCGTATCTTTCTTAATTTCAATATAAAATTTCAAACAATTAAGATTTTATTTTTCTTGAAAAATTTATATTGGTTGAAAGGGTGGGCTCGATCATAGAAGGCACTTCATTGTTTCTTTCTTTTGTTTTCTCTTAGCAAACTTACAATAATTTATATGCCTCTGTCAAGAGTTATTTAGATCGCCATAGAAAACTTGAAGAAAAAACTCGGATGCCTACAGAAGGGTAAGCTAATCGAGTGCTTTGTGTTGAACTCTAGGCTTTGCCTTTTATAATGGTTCCAATCGAGGGTCTTCTCCTTCTGTTATAAAGCCTTTTTTCTTTTTGTATTTAATGATGATAATTTTCCAAGTTTTAGTTTACTTTAAAATGTAATTCTAAATCTAACTTGGGACGCCACGTGTAAATGGGTAGTTATATTTTCTTCCTTTGTTTAGAAACTTAAAGCAGTATAATACACAATATTGGTCGAAGTTTGGTGTTAACAAATAGAAGAAAAGTGTCAAAGATGATGGTTGACTTTTGAATTATTTAAATACCATTTACTATTAAAAATTAATAAATTTATATGAATTAATTAGATGTACAATTTTTTTGATAAAAGTTGAACATGGTTAGGATGTAATTAACAAAGGTCATGAATATGTGGATTAAACATTTATTATTTACCAAAATGAAATTGTCCTGCATCATCATTCAATTTAATAATTTTGAATTTTATTCATCTCTATATTTTATTTTCAAGTATAAAGAAAATTCTGTAAGATCGTAGATCGAGCAAGCACAACACAGTATCGGCCCTCACAGGCTAGGTTTTGGGTAGAAAGTTATTCAGATTTTACAAAAGTGATAATGTGATTTATCAAATTCCTATATGATCTAGAATTCAAGTTATCATATTTGTCTTAATTTATGGAACTATTTATGAATTGTAAATTGTCTGTGTATGAATATACATTTATGAACTTTAAGCAGTTATATATATTTTGATGTATTGGCTGATACTAACAACTATTCAAACTTCCCATCATAGATTTTGGAGAAAGCTTATAATATGAAGCCGAAGGAATTAGGCTTTGTGGTGAAGTGGAACCGACGCAAGCAGATAAGGGCAACTTCTCAATTTCAGGCAAATTCCTTCATTTATAGGCTTTCGTTTTGGAAATTTATGTTTTGGTTATATCTCAATTAAATAAATATAGATTTGAATTCCATTTGTTAGAGGATAATCCTGAAGATTAGGACTTTCTATCTTAGTCATTATCTCGATTTTTTTCATTTAATTGTTTTTTATTATTATTTAATTTTTTCAAAATTTTCTAGGATTTTAACTATATAAAGCATCATAAGCCTTTTGAGGCGGCATACTTAGGATATTTGTAGTTTCGATTTCCTTGATACATAGCTATTAAGGAGCTTCTTCCTATGGTTCTCATGCTCTTATGAGCTTCTTTCCGGAGTTCTTCTTCTTGGAGTTATTGTATATCCTTTATCCAGACTGTAGGAGCCCCCGGGGCGAGGGCTGCCTCTCCCTCTGGTTCACCACCTGGTATCCATCGAAAGGTTGATTAGAGCCGTGTGTGCCCTAGGAGGAGGGCAGACGAGCGTAGGAGTTCCCTTCCTGATTGACATAAATAAAAATTTTCGTGAGTTTTTCTTCTTTGTAAGATTTGTCCATCTTTTCTATAAGCTTCCTCCACTTCAAAAGCACAAGATTAGAATTGTTGAGGTAATTTTGATATACCTGCCAATTTTGCTGAATAATCTTCATGTATCTATTG